ACTCCAAAAATAGCTTACTTTCAATAGAAGCACAAAAATCAGACAAACTGATCGAAAAAGTTTGAGAAAATTCGGATAATTTGAAAGTTATGAGTTAGTAATGACATGGACAACTTTGAAAATCACAAGACAAATTGGCAACTCACTCATGATTCTGTGACGTCATTGCCTCACTATCCACCTACTTGTTTTCTTAGTGTATTGATAATATAAATTGCCAATTTCCTCCAGAAAATCTTATTTCCTCACACCAGCATCCAAATTATAATGATAGTAATATGTTTTTTTGTGAGGATGCCCTTATATTAATCGAGTAATTTTTTCAGTCAAATCATGAAAAATGTGAATTTTTATAAACTATTTATATAAAAATCAATGATTATGAATATAAAATAATCAAAAAATAGTATCAACTCTTCAAAGTTCATAAAAGATTTTATGAAATGTCATATGACGCAATATGATACAAATCATATAACCAGGCAAAAGCATGAGGAAATTAAGTATTCGGGAATAAAAAGAGAAATAATGGGTTAGAAATTTATAAAGCAATTTATAAATAGTGAGGTAATGACGTCACAAGCTGATAACCAAATATACTTTGTGTAGTGATTTTCTAAGTTCTATCGGGGACATAATTAATTCTGTTAAACTTTAGATGTACCTTACAAAGTCAAACTGATAACCATATAAATTATCAACTTAAAGTAGATATTCATTGATTTTAAGAGCTAACTTTATTTTCATTATTGCAAAGTTGAAACTTTGATTCGACAAGATTATCAAAAATTAAATGCTTGGAAACATTCGAAGAAATGATTATTATAAATTGCAAAACGCTTAAATACAGCCCAGGCATAGCCCCTGGAGAGCTCTCCGAACGCTGCTGAGATGTGTGAGATCGCAGATTACGCTCAGATAAGCATCCAGGGGCCCGCCTTAGGGCAATTGTTGGGTTCAGGGGGCAGAGACCCTGACTTTGGACCCGAGGTTAAATCCAGGGGGCAGAGCCCAAGGAAGCTTTGGGCTTCTAAGGCATTTAATCACGGTCAGATAAGCATATATATTATATTATTTTTTTTTTAAATTTTGGCCCCGAAAATTGAAAAATTACGTCGTCAGATATTTCGTTCAGTGGTTTGAGGACGTAGGGGGGGGGGGGAGGGGGGGGGGGGGAGGAACCTTTTTGTTTTTGTTGCTTTCTTTAGCACACACAAAAACAAAACAAAAAATCTTTTCCCCTTGTGTTCCTTCTTTTTTTTTGCAAGGGGGGGGGTCGGCCCCCCGCCCCCCCCCCCCCTGAATCCGCCACTGGTCCCATGACATCTCACACATTTTCAGTGCCTGTTTTTTCATCTTCTCTTGAGTTCCTACTCTTACTTCACTACCGTCAGGCTATATGTATAATCTGTTGCCTTACTTTATACCCCGCGCATGTCATTTTGATGACAAATGCAGCGACACAATGTAGGAATCTGTCAAAATAGACGCCATTGTATATTCAGTTGCACAGCCCGATAACGCAGCCCGCTGTATGTTCGGCGTTTCAAGAGGAAACAAATGCCGTCCAGGGGCCCGTTCCTACAAACCGTCATAAGTCTAACTTCTTGACTAAATCAGCGTTAGTGAACAACTTGTCCGCTACGTGTTTCACCAAGCCCTCTTTGCCAAGATCAACGACAACGTCCTGACTAAGGAGTTATGACACCTCTGACACCGTCGTATCTCTGTCATAACTATTTAGTCGATGGGCAGCGCCATCACATGTCATTTATTGGGTAGGCTATGGCTGGCAAAAAGGACAATAAATCCTCCAACTATGATTTTTCTACACATTCACTTAAACAGTGAATTATCGTTTTTTGTATTTGATTATCTCATGAAAATATGCCATGTTTGTATTTAAGGATTTTTCAACTTAAATAAACTGATTATACGCCTTTATTTCCACATTGTAAACTCGTCGAAGGGATATGTATTTTGCCACGGCAGGCAAGCTATAGTTTGAAGTGTATTCTTTAGTTTTCAGACCCATATTAATTTCGAGATGAATTCTATTTTCAATTATGTAAAGTGAATGGTTTAAACATATGTTTTAACTTTTGAAATATTGAAGTTTTGTAATTTTTATATTGTGCTGACGCCAAAAACATTGAACACAAATTTCATTACATCGTATTTTTTCAAAGAATAATATAAGGGTGTATTTTTATAAACTATCAAATGAAAATATTCGGGGGGTGCCCATCTCAACAACAAAACTGATTCACTGGTCATGTAATGAAAAACTCACAATTATATTTTACAAGTACTTCAATTGTTTAATCTACACAAATTTGGAAGTATATTGGATCTCTTATTTCTTGGTATCATTTTCAATCTTTTTTATTACTAATTCATTTAAATAATTGCATTTTCCCTAATATTAATTTTATAATAATCTGGTGGTATTGCGACTAAGGCTAATTCTCGGCTCCTCTTCTCGCCGATAATATCGATCTCACGAGATACTAGCTAGTAAGCTCTTCGTGAAACGGTTTAGGAAGATCAGAGACATCTCCGTAGTTGGCGGATAAGGTTATGACTGTCTTGTCGTTGGTTTCTAGGAACGAGCCCCAGTAGGACAGTGTGCTTTTACGGGGGTTTTTCAATTTGAAAGTCTGGTTTCTTTGATTGTTAATTAACCCCTATCTTGTGTATTTACAAACAAAAGATTTTAGTTATCAGAATCGGTTGTATATAGCCTCTTTTGTAGATCTACACTATAAACTCATTATAATTTTAGAAATAATAGCTTTGCAATTATGTTTATTCTTTATGGGATGTCATCTGCTTGGGCAGTATACGTGCCTTCACGGTTGTTTCATCGCAAAGCATGCCGGGACATAATTCTAGTCCATTTTCACCTTCGCCGTGATCAGCTGTCCTGTTGCAAACAACGGGATTCGTATCGAATCAACATCATAATCTTGTACATAGTCCGCTATTCTGCAGTGATTTTCTTCCAATCCAGTATCATTTGTACGGTAAGAAAACCAAAGTTTGTGGTTATTCATTTTTATGGCTAATAAAGCTGATAATACGACGTAATGAGAGTGGGCCGAGATCCAACTTTAGTAAATGTAGGCCTAGATCTAGTCCCGTATGTTCAAATGTGTGTGCATTTTAAGTAGACTGATTGTCTTTTAAGCTGCTTAAGTACATTCGTCTCGTGTTTTAGGTAGAAATGTAGATCTACAGTAATATGAGATTTATGTCTCATGAAATATTAATAGACGAGATGAAAAAAATATCTCCCTAACCAGAAACTGGCAAAATAACTAAATGCCTTTCCCTCTTTGTAGTCTCTCATTCTTCCCTCTAGTGATGGAGGGCCCTTATCTACTAGGTACACACAAATGTCTCTATACATAGTAGACGACCAGCTCTGCAGTCTGCATGCCTTTCTCCCCCCCCCCCCCCCCCGCCCCCTCTCCATCCATCGTCCAGTTTATCTCTACCTCGGATGGCTGAACAGTACCCGATTTCCAAGCTTGAGTCCCCTCCTTGTAGAAAGTCACGTAACACTTCTGTTGTCCATTGTGAAATGAGCTCTCTCGTAGCATCTACGTTATCTTCTGATTCATGGGTCATAGTGTTCGATGATGCTGCAACTGATAAATAAAAGGGAAAAGAAAATCAAATTTAAGTTTGTGACCAAAGAACCCTCATCACTTCTTCAACACTAGATCATGTAGCAGACATGTATGCAGGGGGGAGGGAGTTTCGGGGGTTGAACCCCCCCCCCCCTCTCCTCCAATTTTGTTTAGACTATGTGTGTGTGTGTTTTTGAGGAACCCCCCCCCCCCCTCACTTTTTTAATAACAAAAATAAATTAAACATTTTTTGTGCTAAAGGGTGACCCAAAAAAGGTGACCTTACCCCCCACCAACTGAACAAAATATCGGTCTCCCAAATTTCATATTTTCGGGGAAAAAAAGAAGGAAAAAAAAAGGTGCTCTTACCACCCCCGGCTTCTTCACCGGCTGGCCGAGTCGTTGTGAAATTGACTGCGTGATTTTCAAATTTTACCCCCCGGCCCCCCCCCCCCTCGAAAAAATCCTCCGTACGCCCCCGTCATGTAGATCCTCAAGTAGAGCTCATTGATATCAGACTATTATATTCAGATCCAGATCGAGAAAATCTATCGTTTTCATGGCATGGCCTCTGTTTACTTTCTTACATTTATAATTTCTAATTGCAATCACTTTCTAGGCCTAACTGTCGGCCATTCTAGTAGACCCTATTCCATTATAAATTATAGGCTCTAGAAAGTCTATTCATATTTCATGAGACATAAATCTCATATTACTGTACATTTCTACCTAAAACACGAGACGAGTGTACTTAAGCAGCTTAAAAGACAATCAGTCTACTTAAAATGCACACACATTTGAACATACGGGACTAGATCTAGGCCCACATTTACTAAAGTTGGATCTCGGCCCACTCTCATTACGTCGTATTATCAGCTTTATTAGTCATAAACATGAATAACCACAAACTTTGGTTTTCTTACCGTACAAATGATACTGGATTGGAAGAAAATCACTGCAGAATAGCGGACTATGTACAAGATTATGATGTTGATTCGATACGAATCCCGTTGTTTGCAACAGGACAGCTGATCACGGCGAAGGTGAAAATGGACTAGAATTATGTCCCGGCATGCTTTGCGATGAAACAACCGTGAAGGCACGTATTGGTCTATTATGTGACGTCATTAAAACATCGTTATTTTTCTGGCGAATCTCTTGTATATCCCAGATGCTATGGAAGTTGTTGTATTTGTATTTTTTTTTATAAATCACCCGATATGTAGTTGACCTAAAACTCGAACGATGGCCATCTGTTAGCTTACCAGTTTATAGTGATACAGTTGACATATTTATGATTTTCTTTGAATTTCCACTTTAACCCAACTCATACTTTGCTACAGCGCCCCCTTTAGGTCAATGTTTTGCCTAAATATACACATCCCCGAGCGAAGCTCGGGGATGTACCCCGCTTGCTCCAAAAAGCCGCTGAGCCCCCTACACATTTGCCGACGACACGAATATCTATTCTATCATAACCTTTATCACCTTGGGAGTGTGTTCTGGGTGTTCGGTATTACATGAGCTTCATGCAGCTCTATTTATTTTTAAATAAAAATGTTAAAAACTCACCTAATCCTGCCTTTTTATCAGTAAAGTCCTTCACACAGCGAACAAAGTTGTGTGCAGTCCTATGGGGCTCGATCTCATGTAATCGCTGTATATGAACCGGAAGGTAATCGCAACTCTGTGAAGGTCAAGTCACGTGACGAGATCGCCCGAGTAGCACGCGCGGAAGCAACTGCTGTAGCAGACGACGCGACGTCTATACTGTGTGCAATGTAAATTTATAGCGTAATCGCCCAGATTCATTCATGATTCAGGCAGAAATTATTCAGCGTACGTAGAAACTGCCATGGAAACGAGAATGCTCAAAGAAGTTGTGGATGATGTGCTCGGAAGTACTTTTGTACTGAAACAAAAACAGGAGTCCATGCTCATAAGCGCTGCCAAAGGAAATCACACCATGGGGATCCTTCCCACTGGATACGGAAAAAGTTTGATTTATGCCCTCCACGCACCACTTTTGAACAAAGTAGGCATATTGTGTTTTTAAATGTAGCTGTCGTTTTTTTTATTGTCTTAATATTTTTTGTTAATCAGCTTTCTTGAATGGAACATGCAACAGAAAACAAGCGCCGTTTAATATGATTTTGTATAAGTTAATATTAAGGCATTGCCGTATATATACAAACTAGGGGTATGTTTGACCTTTTTTTTTTTTTTTTTTTTTTTTTGCCAGTGTTTCATGATTTTTTTAGAGGGGGACAAAATATCAAATGTCCCCCCTCCTATATACGATTTGAGGTTTAACTTGTATTTTTAAGATTATATGCGACTTTTTGGTGTTTTAGTCGATGTGAGACCTTTCATTTTTCTTGTCAGTTTGTTTTGGAGTCGTTTGTTGGTTTTTACCTACCTCTCCACCTCACTTATTTATTTTTTGAAGAAAAAAAAATCACCAACAAGTTGAACAACAAGGTTTTTGTTAGTTTGTTCGTTTGCTTGTCGGAGAGGTGGGTCTCTTGCACGTATCCTGATGGAATAAGGCTCTGTCATGGGTGTAAAGGGGTGTAAAGTAAACTCTCATTTTGTGTTGTTGTAGTTGTTTTTTGGGGGAGGCCGTTCTCAAGGCCATCGTTTTGATCTTCTTTGCCGCTCCTTAGCCCCCCCCCCCCCTCCGTTTTGGAATTGGTAGCGGCACACCCCCGTCAAAATAACAGTCCCCCCCCCCCCCCCCCCGGGGGGAGTTATACAACCTCCACAATCTTTTCCAAATGTGTCATAAGTATATGCACGCCACGGGTTAGGTGCTCCCGACCCACTCATTTTACATGAATGCAAAAAGGAATGAGACGATCGAGATTCATTCATGCTGGTCTAATTTCAGATCATTATTTTATTTGCATGCATACAGTATACATTCATCGGATAGCGGGCCTTAAAAAGTCCGTCTGATCATGCAATGAGATACCAGGCCCAAATAAGGAACGGAACGGCATACTTCCCATAATTATGTGGATGCAAGACCAGCCAAAAAAAACAAAAAACAAAAACAAATACAAAAAAACAAACAATAACACACATAAATGAATGAAAATAAAATATAAAATTAAGGTTTCAAAATTAGGCAGAGCTGCTGGAAAATGTACTGGTTTTGTCCCAATCACAATCGGTCTTAAAATGATCACTTAAAGATATAATAATAATCAATAAAATAAGATTGGTGGGACCAGCCCCCCCCCCCCCCCCTCCCCATTCCCATCCTGCAGCATAGTGAATATGATTATATTTAACCAAAAAGAAAATTGAAGAAACTAATAACATTCATATTCACTGTCTAAAATATATAACTAACAAACACAGTTATATAGTTACCTTTACAAATGTATGATAAACTAAAACCTGTGCATGCATTAATCTTCTTCTTTTTTTTTTTTTTTACAGCTGAATCCACAGAAAACACACATAACCCTCGTAGTAAGTCCGCTTAAAAGTCTAATGCTGGACCAGGTGCGCAGATGGAAGAATCTTGGCATCAGAACTGCGGCCATTCTTGGCCATTCAGGTCATGACATGGACAGGGAGACTGAAAACGGTAATTCAAACAGCAACGAGAGATTTTACACGTTGTGGGTCATACAGCGGATTATACCAGGTGTCCCAGAAATAAAGTGGAACGAAGATTTTTCAGTATGCTTGCCTTAATTCAAAAGCTACATATTTGGTTTTACATTATTGGATAAATCATTTTCTACCAAAGACCAAAGAGAATGATGCCAAGATTGTTGTAAATGGTTCAGTAATTTTGATTCTATGCCCGTTTCTTTTAATACAATCATTTTCAAATTTCGCATGCTTTTAGCGACCAATATATAGGAGTACTTGTGTCGGGAATGGCGTGTAACATGCGTCCGTTTTCCGATTTCAGTTTTTCTTTTGTTTGCATGCATCAATGGGCTCCCCCCGAACATTCGAAATTTGAAAATGACTTTATTTAAAGAAACGACATGAATCAACACTACTCAATCAAATTCAAAGATCTAATTAGTATCATTCTCCTCGGTAGAAAATTCTTTACCCAAATGATGCAATAAAATTATACATTAAGGATCGTCATCACTTGTATAGGTAGGGCGTAATAGCATTACCATAATTTACATCACAACAAATAGTGCTTCTTCTTGCCACAGTTATGGTTAAATATATGGTAATAGTGTATAACATTATTATTATTGAAGTGATAATGCAAAACATCAAATCCGATGTACAATAAAATAGATAGACGACATACACTGTAAAAACTGGGGTGTTAAAATTGACACCAGTCGGTTTTAGTAGAGGACTACACCTTCAGGTATTAAAATTACTACCTTAGAGTTTGGACATAACACCAAAAATGTTAGAATAACACCATTGGGTGTTGAATTAACACCACAGATGTAAAACGCATGGCGTTGTCCTCTATGTACACCCGATATCAATATAGTTCTTGTTGTATCTGTTGATAAGAAATACAAGTGGAATAGATGTGGGATGTGATTATTTCACGTGTTTATATACAGAATGCACTCGATAGAATTTGACATGAATGCATCGATCACAACGTTCCTGTTATTTCTTCATTTATTAAACAGACCTGATGAATGGAGGGACAGACCTTCCCCGGAGGCCATCCTGTCCCCTAAGTGGTGGCAATGGGTGCGGAAGTTTCAAAACAGGATTTCGTTGCTGGTGCTAGATGAGGTTCACTGCTTTACAAAATGGCATGTTCTTGAAAATTATTTATATATTTCAAGCCATTATCATACAAAATACATGTCTTTTAAAAGCTTATCACTTTTGTTTCTGCTAATCATGTGATTACATGGGCCCATTCAAGATAGCTCTGCATTATGAAGCTGCGTGAAAGTCTTAAACAGCAAGCGAGTTTGCAAAATGCGCCTTCAAAATGTGACATATTCATATAAGACAAAATAGGTATTTCCTCTTCATCGTTTACATAATGAAGGCCTATACATATACTCTGCACCAATGTCATTTTCATAAATATTAACAAGGAGCTACGTTTTCTGAGCTCAGTTTACTTCACTCATGCACAGTGGGATGTGCACTTTCACATGAAGACACTAATTATAAACCATAATTACACATTATCAAATTCACAACATTCACTGATAGGTAAATAGGTCAAACGAGTCAATTTTACCAATCATTTGTGTTCATCTTACAGGGGTCTTACATTCAGGGAGGAGTACCTCCGGACCACATCTTTGACATCCAGGCTGGCATGCCCTATAATGCTTCTTACAGCCACGGCAACAAACAGAATGGTCACAGAAATACTTCAAAACCTGAATCTCCGCAGGGAAGAAGTAGAAATATTCGCCGCTATTCCCAACAGGTTGGTTATACCTTATCATCATAAGCAGTTAATGTGAATGATCATTATTAATGATTTCTTCAAGTCAATTGATCATGATCATAGTATACATACATAGTATCTACTACTGAACTTCTCTTCCCTTATTGTAATAATAATTATGTGAGAAATCTTAAAGGAAAATGAAAATCAGACAGCAAAAACAAAATAAGAATACAGCCCTGCAGGGTTGCGACTAGGAACATTTATAAATAATAAATATGGTTAAGAGTGATCAGGGGTATATCAAAGATTTTAATAGGGACAGGGTTCAACAGGGGGCGGAAGGAGAACTTGCGCGCTCGCAAATCTACATTCTGCATGATACAAAATATCAGTAAAATGCAGTCAATATCTTTATGTATTTATTTATGCATTTATTAACATTAGATTATTATTATTTTTATTGTTGTTATTATTATTATTATTATTATTTTTTAATTATCATTATTATGATGTCGATGACTATTATTGTTGTTACTTTCATTGTTATTATTCTCTTTCATTTAATTTATTTATTTGTTATATTTTGTTTTGTTTGTTAGGAATTCAAACATGAGTCCGGTATCAGGGTATTAGCCAATCAAAATCGCGAATTTCGAGACTTATGTTTGAGTTGCTGAATTGGGTTTGATATCAGCTTTTATACCACAGGGTCCAGGGTTTCATAATTACTCGGATAGGCCCTTTTGAATATCATAAATGAATCATAAGGGAATTGACAGAACTTTAAATCGGACAGAAACCTGTGTAATACTCGTTATCAGTTGAGGCACATTAATTGTCTACAGCAGAGAGTCATAATGTCATAAACTATTAGGCTACATACGGACATTTAATGAAATCTTGTGTGTAAGGAGACTTTTAAGGAATATATGAATAGCTCTGTGGATATGACTGAGTTCATGTACCTTTAATTGTTCTATCCACAGACCAAACATTCATCTATCAGTGGTTCCGGTGAAGGACAAGTTTGAAGCCATTGGATGGTACTTGGATGAATTAAAGGAGAAGGGTGTCGATGCTGCAAAAACCATCATTTATGCACGGTAAATAAATTTTAAAACGCAATTTTCATTTTTCTTACGGAATTAAGTTTTATGAAGGTTTTCATTTTCAATTAACTAGTATGTCAAAACTTTAGGCGAATCTTTATGACAGCGATGCGTTCATTCTTACGTTTAACGTTTTGCAATATAAAGAATTATGTTCACATTATAAGGGGTCAATTTCATAAGGAGTTACGGTTAATCGTTACTTTGCTCAATAAACGGTTTTCCGTTCAGTTACAATTTATATCACTTTCACTATTGTTGACTGGATCTTAAAAGAGGCACACGTGGATTAGCTTCAATATCCTTAATAATGTCACTAAGTATTGTTCTTTCAGACAAATCGACCACGTTGCTGAACTCTACACATGGCTCAACGAAAGCCTCGCCGAGTCCGCCCATGCTCCAGGACCAGGGCAGTCTTGCAGTGTGGAAAGTAGACTGATCGAAATGTACCACGCATCAACGGACTCAAAGAGTCAGGAACGAATATGTCGTAACTTTTCCACCGAAGGTTCTAAGCTGCGCTGCGTTGTAGCAACAATAGCATTCGGTTTGGGTGTCGACATCGCCGACATTGATCAGGTTATCCACTGGGGATGCCCTAGTGATGTCCTCTGCTATTGGCAAGAAACAGGCCGATGCGCGAGGGATGGAAGACCCGGAAAAGCCATTATGTATCTGCCACCCTTTTCAGTCAACAAGAGATGGGTTGATGAAGACATGAGGGACCTTGTCCAATCATCCCGCTGCATCCGGAAATCGGTGTTGAACACGCTCTTCGTGCATGGCATGGAAAAGGACAATGTACAGGTGATGTCATGCTGCTCAGTTTGCGACAGTGCTAAGTAATACGGGACCCATAGCATGTATCCATTTCTATGAGTCAGTGCACAATTTAACACTGCGACGCTGTGCATCCATTCTCGTAGAAAGTGCTTTCAGCTTTTTACCAAGGTTCTTTGGATTTCGCAACACCTCTTTATGGTCGAACCCTTCAAAGCCTTTGTGTTGTCTGAAGGGCAAGTATTCAAACAGTCCAAATCCATCGTTCTCATCCACAAACAATGCAACATCTTGTTTGTATACATCCTCTGCTTTCTTCCTAGTTGGCGTCTTCATGGAGACGATCCCGGCATCACTGAACATGATATCCAGGTACCTACCAAATGGTCCTGACATCTTGGCACATCTCTGCGCGTGTTTCTCAGTCACATTTCCATGAGCGAAGTCGATCATACCTGCAAAAATTGATACAGAAAAAAAAACAGTTAAAATATAATTGTTGAGAAGATCAAATCAACCTTGATTTATAATTGCATATCACGTCACCTACGCACAACGCAAAATGCGTCAAACATTGCAACTGACATACCGTTGTAGTCCATGTTAATGTGCTCAGTACCAAGGTCCATCCCTATGTTTCCTCCGGGCTTGCCAGTGACATTGATGACTCTGTTCCAGATCAAATTGTTCCTGATGTCAGAAGGAGCAAATCCACCGATACCTGATGCCATGAAAAAACAATTTGCGAAATCTAAAACCAACATTTCACCAACATGACCAAGGAAATACTTTCTACTTTTCAAACCCCTCGTTCGAGGATCATTTCATGATGTTCAAAGGATCGCATGGGCACCATCCCTTTAACGTTAACTAGCTAGGTCACTATTAGTTTGAATGCACATGCCATCATTATGACCGTTCATCAGTATACACTTTATTAATTGTGTGTTTGCCAGCGTCCTTCTTTCGGCAAATGGCACAAATCTCCTATCTCTTAAACAATGCTTAATCTGTTTATCCCCAAACTCACAATATGCACATCCTGGAGGATTCGTTGTCTAGTACACCTAATCACAAATGAAACGGACGTATTCTATGTGCATTTCAAGTGGAAGTGGGTCTAAAAGATGATGTGATGATGTGGCACACAGAATATATTTTTGGCACATAATAATAAGTTTATCGTGAGTGTCATGAAGTCTTGTCCTGTCAGTTATTCTCGCATCGAGTCAAATGAATATCTTATCAATGTAAAATCTTATAAGTCTTCAAATTCCAGACTCACATGCTAAAAAGTAGTGGGCATTGATGAGGTACTTTGGGTGTCTCTTTGACCAGAAAGTTATGAGATCGATTTTCCAGTCTTCAACCATGACTGGTCCATTTCCAGCCCGAACTGCTGCTCTCCTGGCTAGATGTCGCAATCCTTCCAGAACGAGAGCTCTACTGTGGTTCAGCACATGGTCGTCGTTTTGAGAATCAAGGGCGCATTCTTCACTGCAATACCACTTCTCTGCGAAGATATATATATGGAATGCATTGGAACTAATGGATTTGTGAAAATTTGTTCCCTCTTCTTATTCTAAGGTACGGTTAGGGCTAATAAGATGCTTGTATAATTTATGATCGAACCTCATCAACTAGACTTTTGACATCCATGGAAAAAATGGGAATATGGAATATATAGTCCACGAATAGAGTTTTGGCTTGCATATCGCAGATTCTGGTAGAGTTTTATCCAGATAGGGACACCAAACGTTGCAGGATTAGTTCTATTTAGTGGGTTATCCAAACTTGCTAAAATGTTAATATTTGAAATTGTGTATTTATAATATTCCTGAAACCTTGTAACTATGAACAATTACAATATTCTTACCGGGTAAGAGATCAGTCAACTGAAGACCAATGCATCTGTGGTGATACCATTCATGACCCCTGCAGTTTCCTTTCAATGCGCACTGCGCCATGTTTGTGTTGCCCTCTGGATCGACTTTCCGCTGGCACACACAGTAGATGTAACTCGGACCACTCTCACAGTCGGCGCTGCAATACCAGTCTTTCTCTTTGTCTGGAGCAGCTGTCAACCCAACACAACTAAGGTGAAACCAAGCCTTGTGACATGTTGAACTGCAACACAGCACCATGTCGTCATTCTTTTCTGTATTAATTATTTTAAAAGGTTGGAAAAACATGTATCAGTCTTGTCGAATACAACTCAATTTTCTTTCAACAGAAGTTAGAGAAAACATTATTAAATTCATCCCCTAACTGATAGAGTGATATGTGTTTGAAGGATATCTTCTTTTTCTTCTATTGTCCACTTTTAAAATGCAACGCCCGTCTCCAAAACGAATTTGGGAGGTTTAAAATGCAGTTTAAGATAATTATGTTAGTAATGGCTTTGGAAAAAAATCGATATAGTGTACAATTCAGCTTGTAACTTATTTACCATTAGGTATGGCATTAATTGTCACTTGATTTTGGAAGCTTTTATCATATAATGAAACGGGAGCATATTCAGTTAAAAGTGCAAAAGAATAGATACTGGTACTGATGGACATGCCTACCAGATTTGCAGAGGCAATAGCCTAGTGCATCATCTGTTCCTTCAGAGGCCTCATTCTTGTATGCTTCTGCAGCTACTTGAACTGATGACTTATCGGGCTCCTGGTATATGTAGTCCACAACTTGTTGTGCCACACTCTTTACCCATTGGAGTTGTTCCTCTGTCGTTCCTTTAGCAGGGAAACTATCAGGGATGTCGTTTAGGGATGACGTTCCACAGAACTTCAATGCACAAAGGAGAGTGTACGCCTCGGTCACGAACTGCATAAATTATAAAAATGATTATTATAATGTGACTTTTAAGTTATGCTGGGATCATTCTTAAACTATCAAAACATCGTAACCCCCCCCCCCCCTTTCTCCTTTTACTGACATTTCCATCATCATTTTTGTCAGTATAAGCTTTAATCTTGAATAATTGTCGCCATTCCAATCCACATTTTGAAACGTCTTTCTCCAATTTCAGTTACTTGAGGGAAATTCATCAACACCCCTCCCCCCTTCACATGAACACAAGCAAAAGCAACAAACGCACACACACACACACACACACACGCACACACACATACACACACTCACACAAATACGGCTTACCTCGTACATATCCCAGACATGCTGAACATTTTGCATCACGTCTTTTTTGAAGGAATGGTGATTGAAGTCGCATTTCAGTTGTGCAAGTGTTCCTCGTGCAGAAATACTTTGACCTCTGAAGAACACATTGTTCGAGTCCTATTATAAAGATTGGCAATATATCTGAATAACGTGATTTATGACATATTTTTCAATGATATCATTTACAAGCGATCATTTCAGTTTCTGGCTCTGACTTTGCAATTTACACGTCCTGTTTTGATTAATCGACAAATGAAGAGAATTTGACACCTAACCCTATCTTTTTATTGAACTGCAATATAATTTTTCCTAATCGACATTGTCATTCACGTTTTGAGACACAGAGCATAAAAGGTCATATAAGACGGTGAAAACTCTTTTATTTGATCAATTGTAATTTGCCAACACGTATTTACTGTGGTCCATGTAGGCATTATTTTAACAAGACCGTGGGAGGGGGGGGGGGGCATGACGCCCATGCTATTAACCCTCCAATTAAGATGATAACATGACTTTTAGACTCGAATATCATCTCACTTAAGAATTATATTGGGCTGCACCAGTGAGAATGTTCTTCCTTTCAAACTGACCTGCAATAGGAGGATCTCCTTGTGGAACTCCTGAGGTGTTGCAAAGAATGCGTCGAGTCTGTCCTCCCATCGTTCCCCGTTACTTCGCGCTCTCTGGGCGTGTAATATGCGTTCGATTGTCAGCCCGTCGCCACTGACGAGGGTCTGTGTTGGTGTTCCTTCGGTAACAGGCACATAGGTCTGGAGGCGCTCCAGGACTGAAATTGTCCCCTGCGTGGTACTAGGATTGGCGTTCACAACTCCAATTGTTACCTGTATTATAGGTAATTATTATCTGAATGTCAACATCTATTTTTCTTTGATAATATAATCTGAACTTATAGCAGTATGCCCACTATTTTCCTGGTTTCTCTCAGTATGAAGGTAGTTTAAAGTTATACTTCTAATCATTAGATATTACATTATCAACGCGAAGTGAACATTTAATTTGTCAAGTTGGTACTGGATAAACAACTAAGGCATACAATTTGAAGTACTCAAATCGGGCACTATAATTCAGATTCAAGTTAAAACAAACAAATTAAAAAAAGACTGTGAGTTGTATATTGAATAAGGCCTCTATAGCTGCACCCCTGGTCAAATTCTCACCATTTCAGACTTCTTAGCCATGGCAGCTGTTTGTGCGTGTTCTTGTGTGATGGGAAGGTCAGGAGATAAGCTCTCTAAAAAGCCCATATGCCTCCCCATGATGTTCGATACCACATCTACTAAGCGCATTCGCTGGCGGTTGAAGACTTCCGGTGAGGGCAAGAAGCTAAACGGGTCTAAGTCCTCTGCATCGCTCACTGTCGAGGATGACGAAGAAGCTGGCACCCTGTCCCTTGCCGCGTAGCACATCGTCTGAAGGAGGAATTTGTTGCTATGTGTTCTGCCTTGATGTTTTGCTTCACATCCCTTCTGCACGTTGTCAATACAGAGTCCAAATGTAGGAGGACCGGTAATGAACTTTAGCTTCCGACGTATTGTCATGCTCGGCGCTTCCTGATCAATTTAGGGAGAGAGGGATTTCGTATTATCCACATGTCAATTCATTTCAGCATAATATTAATTGAGAAGGAAACACCGATTTTTTTTTTTAGTGTTTTCGTGTTATCTAGAGTAAAAAAAAAGTCATACATTGCTACAAGAGGAAGCGGTCATTTCCTCAAACTATATCTCGATACTGCCAAGTTCTTACTAAGGGGACGAGCTGTGGGAATAAAGAGCTTTATAGATTTTAATACGAACAACTTTCAGAAAAAAGAACATAGTAGACGACTAGTATGGATGTACATAATTTTGTTAATTACTGTGAATATTCAAAATGGTGTATGACTCAAGTACACCCTATATTTCTTCACCTCAATTGTACACTTCCACTCTTTAAGTTGTTGGTCATGATTTTCCGCCATTCTATCGACATGGAACCTGACGCGCTCTGCTCCCATGGTGATGCCACTGTGATTGAGCGTCCGGAAGACTTTCTGGGACACTCCTTGGCGCCACAGTTCTATTCCCATGGTCGCCTGGACAAATTGGAAGCTGCGTGGCGAGTGGGTGTATAATGCCATGGCTAGTATAATTCCCATTCTGCGGTCGATGATTTCCTTTGCCTCTTTATCGGATAGTCCCCTTTTAATGGATAAGAAAAATAAGATCGTTTACGTTATTATCTTTCTTATAAGAAGCGTATAAAGTACTTTTCACCGCAAATTATTGCTTGGGAAACAGAATTTGGTTGTTGTACCCTCCCCCCCCCCCCCCCAAAAAAAAGTCCAATAACATGACACACAAAACCTCGGACTGCCAATTAAGGCTATCAGATTCGAAATATTAATTCAGTTGTTGAGTTCCTCTAACTTCTCCCGTCTCTATCTTAATGCCACAAAATCATATATTTACATAATTACGTATTGTGCGACACTAAATTGTCCTTTTGCATGTGTTTAGTTTATCTGTGTAATGTTAATTTATAATTTCTTATGTGAAGGAAAGCGCCCACAATCTCTCTTACTTTTCAATGACCCCGCTTTATCCCCCAAAGTACATAACTATGATCAGTGTGAAATGTATTCAGGTTATCACTTATCAGTACTACATGTTGTACCTCCGAGAGCCTTTCTTTCCTTTTGTTCTTCCTCTCTTGGCCCCTTTGACCGAAGGCATCATTGCCGAGATGCAACTGATTGAGAGTGGCATAATCTTCTCGGTGTCCTCTACAAGATCCTCCCAGCTGAATTCTGCGACATTTCCAATTGTCACTGGCTGGCTCAAGGCGCTTCCGGATCGCTTAATGGCTTTCACCTGATAAATACAATCAATCATACTTTAAATTGACTAAAGACATGCGAATACCACGTCGTTATTGTAGTTAAATTGTAAAGCATATGTTTGGTTTCTAATTTAGTCAAATAGTTAAATAACGTAGAAATTGAAACGTTTTCCCGACTCATGACTTGCCTGAAAATCGTTAATTTCATAAAATAATATCGTCTCGCTCTAGAAGCGTAGAAGGAAAATTGTTCAACCAAAATCGATGATACTGGTATCAATTTCTTTAGAATTACATATACACTAATCCATAAAGGCATAGACCGTGCCCCCACCCTCTAGCCTATAATAAAATTTCTTACTTCTTCCCGGATCATCTCTTGCGTGACCTGTAACAGTGCCTTCTTTGCTGCTGGATAATTCCCACATAATTGTCTGAATGCGAGGCGATATTGCGAATTTTCGACACTCGCTACAGCCCTCTCCTTTGCAGTGGTTGGTCTCGAACCAGATTCAGGAAAGAGAGACGGAAGCTCATCGTTGAGTTCAATGCTCATTGATGGTTCTGCGTCTAGAAGAGATGATGATGGCGATGATGGCGGAAGGTTTGTCTGCACGTGAGCATCTACTTGATCATTTGGTGACGATATACATCTTTCTCCTTCTGCGAATTCACCGTCACCTTTGAGTTGAGGAAGAGAAGCTTTAATAATAGTTTATTTTTCTGTGAGACATACGATGTGCTCAAGCTAATCTTGATGAATACGAATACTCCCGTGTCAAAACTTCATTGTGGAATATTTCGATATTGCTTATAAAGTGTTTAATGTTCATGTAATTATTAAGAAACAAGAAAAAAAAAGAGAAATGTATGTTGCATGCAGTTTTACTTCTCAATCCTGAACGGTTATGTATTTGGATGTATGTTACAGTGTTGCTTATCAATCCTGAACGGGAATGTACTTGGATCTAAAACTTTGTGAGCCCTAGAGTTATTTGACGAGATAAATTTTGCGCAGATGGCAACTTGCAAATGTGTAACACTTATTTGAGTAACTTTCCATTCCATTAACCGTTCTTCCGGGGAAAGAGATGCTACAGAAATAATGAATCGGGAGAAATATAATTCAGATTATTTGGGCCGGTATAATTATAGAGACCCCTCTATAAGATATATACCTATCGTTTTGCACATTTTGAACGAATTATATTTTTGCGAACCAGATTCAGGAAAGAGGAACGGGTTTTGCAGAGGTGGTTATAGAAAGAAAATACCTGGCCTCAGTATTTCTCGCGAGGGCGTGTAATCATGGTCATGTTGCACAAGAAGACATGATTCATGCGGAGTGTCCTGCGCTTCCTCCACGGATCCGTTAGGTCTTGGTGCATGGAGGTCAGGCGTCGGAAAATGCGCGGGTCGCTTTGCAGCTGGAGTTGAAAGTCCAGGTGATGAATGTTCTGGCAAAAGTGGAGAAATGAAATCATAAATGAATAAATGAATGAGAAACGGAACACGGACCATATCCTTAATTAGTTAAAAACTTCAAAATATTTTTAAAGATTATATGTTATGTTTCAAATAGCATAACATCAAATGATTTAATGTTTGGGGGTTTAAAAATTCAGAATTTTGATGCAACCCCCCCCCCCCCCCTTCAAAAAAGGCTCTTGCTCTCTCACTCGCCAGCACGCAGTATTCCCGATAGAGGGGCTGTAAACATGTAAGCCTCATGCTAGATATTTGTGGTACATGAGCATTCTTTTCTTTTTCTTCTTAACTTTCATATAAATTTGTTATATTAATACCTTCACAAATTCGTTGCAGGTACAAAAATGTAAAATAGAAGGACAGGTTTCGTAATTGCATAAGAATTTTCTGATTCGGTAACCCAATATAAAAAGTAATTCCCTGTTTCCTATGCAGAAGTACGTGAAATATCGGCTCGCTCGATGCGCTCGCTAGCACTATTAGGCTTTTTGGACAGGGTGAGTTCTCGGTTTGTGTTTATAAATCTTTATTCATAAGGCAATGCACCCGCCTCCTCATAATATAAAAAATATCCGATTTGAATTTATAAACCAACTTAAAGAATGCCTTATCTTTTACTCAGAAATATACAAATTTTATGCTCTCTCGTTGCACTCGCTCGCAATGATTTCAGACCCCTATAGTCTGTTCAGTATTCGGTTTGTCTGTATATGTCGTTATTTTAAAGACCAACCGCCCAATCATAAAACTTTGACAATGGGGATACACTTTGATTATTCAGGAAATAAATTTGAAGTATTCTATATACTGCGTAGGGTATGTTCATTTTTTTTTCAGTGTCCCTACCGTGGGAACGGGACACCTCTTCCCTCCATTTCCATCCTCCCCCACCCCCCCCCCCCCCCCCCTCCCACTCAGCCGCTTCAATCGCTCCCTCGCCCCGATATTGACCATGGGCAAATCATGAACACGGATCAATGAACATGGATTAATAAGATATCGAGTAGAATATTAAATAATTTTAGATTAATTTTTCTGAAATTGTCTCACAATAACACTGCACTTCAACATTATTCTTTCCGACACTGTTTCGTATGATCATCATAGCCCTAGCCAACTCAATTTATCCCCCCCCCCCCAAACAAAAACAAAAACAAACACAAAAAATCATAATTGAGGCGTGATGCTCGTTGCCCATCACCTGTGCACCATTTCCTTAGAACAATTAAAATCCTAAAATTTTTCCAGCATAAGAAATTTAGGTAAATATATTAAAGTAGGCCTACATGATTTGGACCCTGTTTGAAATTATTATCTTTGTTTGGTTGTTTGTCAGAATAAAAACTAAGCATGGGTTTGGAAGAGTGGTGTACTGATGAAAGGGTCCAATTAAATTTAGCTGTATATAGTGCCATACTAGAATTCATGGGGGAGGGGTGGTCGAGAGCAAAATAGACATTAATAATCGGATCATGTTTTGAGGAGATGCCGGATTTGGGCAGATCTGGATTCCTACCATATTCCTCCGACTCTTCATGTACTCGTTGAGGACTTTGTCCAGGGGATCCGGCTTGATGCAGCGTCCGTCGGGCGGTCCTTTTCCTACTCTGTACTGGCCTTGTTTGACTGACGAGGAACCTGTAGCACCGTCTACAAATAAAAACATTCAGTTCATAAAACGAAGGTGGCTTCCTAAAAATAGCCGTGAATGTTCTTGGCGAGGTGGTTGTTTTGACTTGATGACGATAAAAGCCTTTGTTTTTTGGTGTAAAATTTTGTTTACAATTGATGCAAGAAGAAATAGTTCCCTCCATTTTAGCCTGCAGCAGACGACAAGCTTTCCGTAACACATTGAACGCACACGTGCTCGCACTTCCGGTTGCGCATGCGCAATACGTATGTTTCGTGAAGCTACTATTTTGGAATTTTAGTGCGATCACCAAGGACCAAGTTTTAGGTTAATTTGTTGCATTAAATCAGTAAAACCTCACTATCAGATATCAAGAAAGATGACAATGGATGCGCACAGCAACGTGGCATAGCCAAATGTGAGTATAGTTCCAAAATAATTAATTGCGTTAATTTAAAATGTTTTTTTTTAAATGTAGAAATTCTAGAATTGGCCGTTCACTGTACTGGCGGTATGGGAGGAGGTCAGACGCCGTGCTACGCACGGCGTCTGGTCAGGCTATGTTTTGCCCAAATCAGCGTAGATTACCACTACATTTTGCAGTTATAAAGGGCATCCTTATTCGACGTTTGGAAATCTTAGAATTGTCTTATTTATTCAAACCAAAATCCCAATTTCAAGCTCTTGAATAGACTTAAATTTCACGCCAACGAGCAACGTATACGTACGTACGTGTAAGTAAATTGGTAATTTCTTACTATACAGTCCCATACGTACTTGTCTGTGCTGGTTTTTAGAGTAATTGGGCTTGGAAAAGTCGACCTAGGCCTAGGGCACCGAGGCTCAAAATACACGGGGGCGGAGGGCGACCTTCATAATCGCCTCCGTCAGATTGCTTACCGGGGCGATTGCAAAATTAAAAATCGCCCCTGTGGAATTATAAAATAAAGATAATAGCCTAGATCTACTAATAGTGTAAAAAGGGACAAGTTCACAAGTGCAGGGAGTTTCAGTTTGGGAAGTTCAGAATTCGCCTTCGTATACTAGAGTCTACTACTAGGGTCTAGATCTAGTATTACTAAGGGCGCAGCACAGAGTTCGCTGAGACTGAGAGTTTTAAAGGGACAAGATCATCAGCCCAAACAGCCTGAAAAATATACTTGATCAAAGACATATATATGAGAGATTGATTGAAGGAATTGTATGGAAATGAAAATGGGATCATCCATACTCTAATACTATAGTCTAGTAATACAAAAACCAAATGGATTCCATTAATTCTCCCAATTATTCTGATGTTTTTCTAGCTTCTGGAAGAAAGCCATCTCCATGCAGCTTTCAAGCTTTCAGGTCACCGTCTAACGTCAGGGGGGGGGGGGGGTGTACCACACATAGGAGCATCACTATCCTGGCTGTGTAGTAAAAGCTGTGCTTTTGATTCTCAACATTTCAAACACCACTGTACAAAACTCAACTGATTTCACTCAAAATTGGTACTTTAGTGACAATTGATGACACCTAAATAGCAGTAAAATACATTTTTTTTCAACTTACTGATGTTAAAAAGAATAATTTAAAAATTAAAATTGTAAGTCTAGTGTCAAACTTTGCTTACAGCTGCATGGACATGATTGTGTACAGTCTATGCGATATTGTGTGGTGTGTATATTTGTGTATAGACTTCTAGGTCCCTGCCTCACAGCATGTATGCAGTGCTAGAGGTCAATACGCTTTAGCATTGACTCTCTATGCTTTGCTGGAGTGGGGTGTACCAGCTTCCGGCTCTTGCACCATAGTCAGTTTACAGCTGTATCTTGCTTCCTGGGTCATATCAGGAATGTCATAATTGGAGTGTCTACTGGGAGAAGGGTGAATTATATTGCTCCTTCTTCCAGTGTTTGTCAAATCTGGCTTTAAAGCTGTTTACTGAGGTTGCAGACTTGCATGCCTCAGCAGTTGCACGAGCAATGTGTTTATTTTATTTGCACATTTTACATTCATTCCCATGACTCCTTGCCTCTTCTTTCTCCTCCAGCATCGACAGAAACATGATCTGCAGCCATGGCTGCTAGGAGACTGGTATCCGTCCTCAACTTGGGTCATATGCAATACAGAAGGGCATGGGAGCTACAGCATAGACTGGTTAGATGGCAGCTGGATTTACTGAAGACAGGTGGAGGTGAAGCTCATAAGAAAACTCAAGATTTGCTTCTTCTCTGCACACACAATCCAGTCTATACAATAGGTAAATGTGTATACATGCTGAAAGGGATCATGTCACAATCTTTTCCATTGCCTATAAAATGTTAAATAAAAATGTTACATAGTCAATCAATGATACATTAAAAGTCTAAAGTGAGCTCTTGGAAACTCTTTAAAAGGCTGTTTTTAAACTCAATAATAAAACTTCCCTTCAGAACAATCTAAATTTACTTTTATAGACTCTAAAATAACTCTGGGAACATGTATGCATTTGTTTGCATTGAAGATAAAAATGACCAAATGAGATACATATACTTATGTACTTATGTATCTCTCAAAATATATACTGGTAGATATTTGTAGATAGTTATAATGAATAGATAGATAGATGTCACAAATTATACACAAGGTCATGTAAGTATTATTTCTTCAAAGACCAGTTGTCTCCAGTGGCTAATAATTATAATAATAACGATAATAATGATAATGACAAAAATGATTATAATTATAATAATAATAATGATAATGTATTTGAACTTATATTTCTTATCTATTTTTTCCTTGTGTACTTCTGAATAGCAGTTCTAGATGGGTGACGCAATACAAATGCCTATTATTAGTAATGATATTATCAAACTCTATTTCATACAGGTATTCGAACCAAAGGCTACACGTCTGCAGACGAAGAGAGGCTCAAGGCTCTCGGGGCCGACTTCTTCCGGACCGAAAGGGGAGGACTGATCACGTTCCATGGTCCAGGCCAACTCGTAGCCTATCCCATCCTGGACCTGACCCATTACAAGAAGAGCGTCCGATGGTACGTCAAGCAGCTGGAAGACACAGTCATCAAGACGTGCGGGAGGTTTGGTGTAGAGGGACAGTGCTCTCCTCACACAGGCGTGTGGGTGGGTGACAGCAAAATTGCTGCCATCGGTAGGTGGCTTCTAAATTTGTATGTGTTTGGTTTATCTCTCTCTCTCTTGATCATGATCTTGATTTGTGTAGATTGATCTATTGGAATTATTTTCTAACTCTGTATATCCTTTTCCCACAATTATTCCCCTTTCCACCTCTCTCTCTCTCTCTGTCACTCTATAAACATATTTATCTTCCTCTCTCTCTTTCTGTTTCTCTTACTCTCTCTCTCTCTCTCTCTGTCTCACTCACTCTGTACGTATAGACATTTATATTCGTCCAAATTAAGTGCAATGTTCATTTCACGTTTCTTGTTGATCCTTATTACATATTTAGTTTAACCATACTTTTCATTTCATTTGTTTTGTAAAGCGCTAAGAAACTGTATTTGTATACCAGCGCTATTTAAATCATAAATATTATTATTATTATTATATTCATAGCATCTTTCCCAATACTCACCTGCCTATTGATTTAACCAGCTACCTTTTCATCTTGTATTTTTCAATGCTTTTATTTGAAACAAACAACCAGGAAATCTTTTATATGTCAATTGTCACATTATGTCCCTTTTAATTATTGTTATAACATTTGTTTCCTTTTATTTTCATTGTTTTCAGAATCAGCTCAACAAATTTATTTTGATTTGTCATATAATTCTATTCTTCTCTTTCTCATGTATCCATTTATTATTTCATATTGAGGAATTAATTCAAGTCAAGAACGTCCTTTTTATCTATATTGTTTCTATTTTTCACTTTCTCATGTACAGTATCCCTGTATTATTTCCATTTTCACTTTCTGAGTCGTCCCTTTATTATTTCATACTCGGCAGGTAATTCGAGAATATTCTTTTGATTTGCCATATTATTTCATTTTTTTTACTTTCTCAGATATCCTGTATTATTTCATATTTAGGAATTAAATCAAGATTGTCCATTTTTTTCTTTCATATTATTCCCATTTTCACTTTCTCAGGTATCCACTGCACCAGGTACATAACCAGCCATGGCCTTGCCCTGAACTGCAACACAGACCTGCGATGGTTCAACCACATAGTGCCTTGTGGGATTGAGGGGAAAGGGGTCACTTCCTTGACTAAGGAGGTCAAAGACAGAACAGTCACTGTTGAGGATGCAATAGAACCCTTTCTAAATTCCTTTAGTGAACAGTTAGAATGCAAGCTCATCGATGATGATCGAGGAGTACTTGAAATGGTGGAAACCGTGGAATGATGATGAAGTCACCCAAAAGACGTTGACCGTTGATGATGCTTTTGAGCCCTTTTCAGAGTCCTTTCAGAAACAGTTTGAAAATCAGATTGGTGGTGATCGAGGAATGCATGAACTGGTAGGTTGATTGTGAGCTACCACAAAAGATGTTGACCGTTGATGTTGCAGCTGAGGCGTTAATAGGGACTTTTAGATTGAGTGGACGAGAACACGACGAACGCCGACTGATCATGCGTGTCAACGTACTTAACTGCCCATGCTGACTACAATTAGAAATCTTTTAGATTGCACTCGACGATATACATGCATGCAGGAAGTAACACTATGAACATCACGGACAAAGAAAGAGGACAAAATATACTGTTTCTCATTCTACCCTCAACAAAAGAACATCGAAGGCTTCACTGCTATTATGTAAAAATGTGTAGAACAGGTGAATATGCATGTGACACCTGTTCTACACATTTTTACATATTATAGCAGGGAAGGGATGTTTCTTTGTCTACCTGAGGAACTGTATTATGCGCACGGGGCATACTAGTACCTTGAGCATGTAAAGGCGCTATATAAATATCAACATGCATGTACTAGATTTAGGAAAATCAAGGTTGACGCATTCTCGATCGCCGACTGAGACGACGTAACGCATGCGCATTGCCTTAAAATGACGTCACACGTTGCAGTCAAAGCTGTTGACATGCACATCTAAAAGTCCCTAATACAGTTCTTTATTGAACAGCTTCTACGATGTATATGAACTCATCAATGATGTTCGGGGAGTGTGTTAAATGGTATCAACAATGATAATGAAATGTAGAATAACAAAGATCTCTGACTTTTTCTGTCAGATCTTCTAACTTTCTGTGCAACATCTTACATCTGATTTGGAGGCCTTTCAGTAAATTCTGGGCAATTGAGTGAAGAGTTAGAATGTCAGCTCTGTGTATCATGATGGAAAACATTCAAGTTCTATATAGTGGCTGATGTTGTTCCTAGTCCTTTCATCGAGACATCTAGGCCGTTTCATAAAAATTGTTATCAATAACAAGTTATGGTAACCATCATAAGCTTCTGAAAAAGACTGAAATCGTGGCATTTGATTGGCTGAGAGAAAATTTGTCAGAGAAATTTAGCATTTGTTATTGATATCAAGTTTTTGTGAAACAAGGCCCTACAATTGGGCATTTCAAAATTTTGAATGTCAATTGAAAACACTAATTTCAGGCAGCTCTTCAAGACTTTTGTGCAATATTCCTTTTCCACTTTTAATGGTGTATATCTTTTTTTTTGAAAATCCTGGTTCGTCTGTGAGTGAATCGGTTAAATATTTGCCCTTTAGCAAACGGTTTGAAAATCGACTGCTTGAGTTTAATCGAGGAGTGCATGGAAAGTTAGAATAAAAAGGATTTCAGGTAGTGGGGTAGATCTCTGAGACTCTCTATGCAAAATTGTAATTTTTAAATTCTGATTTGGTTATCTTTCCAGTGTGTGTGATACATTTGTTTTTAAATGGAAATAGTAATTTTAATAAAATGTACAGAGTATCATTAAATATTGATAATTTTGTTCTTAAAATATTTTATGATCATAAAATTATAGATTAAAGGTATAGACCACTTTTGGAAACGCCCCTCTCTCAAAAAATGAAATGGAAGCTCTTATTACCAATCATGTGAAAGAATATGTTTTGACTAATATGTGATGATACAAATTTCACAAACCGCCTTCTAATTGATATATTTGGTAACTTGTCATATCGATCCGGCCTGGAAAGATATCGCAAATTCACTTCAACATTGAACATTTGGGCATATATTTCTGCTTTTTTGCAAATTTAGGTTGAAGTATTGCCATCTAAACCTCGGAAGGCAATATTTAAACAACGTTGAATTGATATTTTGCACCCAAAACCCTTGAACTGCAATTTTACCACAACCGGTCTATATCTTTAAGTGAATCCATTTCAATCCAGTCAGGTAAAATCCTGTTCATAATTAATCAGCGCAATTTGTGATGTATTTTGCTGTCGTGGTCATATCACACTATTTCTTTGCATACATGTACATTTGTCTGTCACATATATCATGGGAATATGTCTTTATAATATACAGAAATGTTATTTTATGATACTTGTACAAGTTAAGCCTTTGCTCAAATCATTTCTTTTTGAAGAGGGAAATAAACTTCCTTCTTTAGACTTGCGCAAGGTTGACTTTTGTTGACATTTTAAGATTGAAAGTAATCCTGATACAGTAACAAATTGTTTACACATTGGATATGGAGCACATAAGAGTCATACTTTCGAGGAAGTATAGTTGACACTTTTATACCAGGACTTTGGATATAGATACATTAAGTTGTATTTTTTCATTGGTGCTATGATGTTTTATGACTTCTTTCTACACATATTTTGATAGTATGAATTGGGTAATATCATTTGAAGAAGTTAAATATAAAAAGATGTAATTTTCATTGCATTCATTTATGAGCTTTGTATTTAATGAAAAGGCACTTTATGAATGTAATAGTATTATTATAATATTATTCAACACTATTTTTGTATGTGAGATTGAAAGATAAATGGAAATTATAGTTCACCTCATTCTGTGCTAAAGAGGAAAAAGTAACATATCCCCCACTTTAGGGTTTCTTTTAAATTAATGCGCTCGTTCATTAAAGATATCGCTGTCTTTTCTTACATTTTAATAAATATATTTTGAGTACAGTTCTAGTACTTGTCTTAATGAGAATAAAAGGGAATATATACATGGTGTGTATAGTGCCAAAAGAAAGAGAGTCGGAGAGAAAACAAATGAGAGAGGAAGAGGGTGAGAGAGAGAGAGAGAGAGAGAGAGATTGGAGGGGAAGGGAGGGAGAGAGGAGTGAAGAGACCCAAGAGGGGACGGGATGATCGCGAGGTGAAAGAGAAAGAAAGGGAGAGGGGACTTTGAGAGAAAAAGGAAGAATAACATGAATGATAGTTTCCTAATGCACTTCAAAAGTCATATCTTCTTTAAGGAATTTTCTGAGGTAAATTTAGGCTAAAAATCAATAATTAACGCCAACCTCATGCTCTGGTTATGCCAATCAAACTAAGAACAGATGCATTTAAATTGAAGTTCAATGTGTTAATTATATCATATTTATATAATGCTACGGATATAACGCGTGGTTAGGTTTGACCATGATAACATAGATAATCAACATGACCAGTCTGTGCATTTGGGATCGATTACAGCTTATCTTGGTCACGCCCCCTTCAGTCTGAGTGGGCAGTCTGAACATAGCAGTAGTAGCAGTGACTGCAGTGTAAACCCAACAGCATCAAACATACAAACCGAGATAATACATACGGATAGATAGCCCTTCGTAGCAATAACATGATATAGCTGGTTTTGAAGGGGGTTGCACTCAGACCAAAGCATAAAATTGGCTCTTTGGTTTGAGTGCATCCCGACGGACTATTCGTTGGTATCATTTTTCTTCTTTTTATTAATCTTCAAAGGGCTATGTAGCCTAATCATTCATGTCCCTGGATGAACTAAACTTGAGACTGCAAGCGGTGTGAGGAAGAAAAATGAGGTTAATTGGGATCTAAGGGCATCATATCGTCTCGGGAATGAAAAGATAAAAACCATTATATTGATGGATCATATTAGGTGTATGAGCCGAAGGGGCGGGGCACGGTCCACCGGCGAAACCCAGTTTTCCAATCTGGCTGAGAAGAAAGATAAATAAACATAATAATACATGAGATTAATATAGCGCATTTATCCATCCTAATTCCATTCCATTCTTCCAATCTGGCTCAGAAAAAAGAAGATAAACCAAATCAATTGTATACATAATATACCCCGGCCTGCCCATCAAAACATTAACCTTTTACTATCTAATTTTCTCTCTCTCCCTCCCTCCCTCCCTCCCTCCCTATCCTCTCTTTCGCCACCATAGGCTAATATACTAAAGCCAAAGGGCTGATAAAAAAAAAAGGATATTAATTTGTGTTTGTTACATTGTTCTTTGTTCTTCTTCTTCTTCCTATTCCTCCTCTTTCTTCTTCCTAATACACTTTATTTATTTATAAATTGAAATGAAATGTTAGAAACATATCCTCAAACTTTGAGATACAACACGAAAACAATTTTTAAAAAGGTGACGAGTTGTAATTTCACTTTTTTGCTAAAGTAATTGGGGCTCTAAACGGGGGAGGGGGGGGGGTTCAACCCCGTACACTGCTTATTATTCTTACCAGGATTTTATGCTTCTTCTAAACTAGCTAAATACCATGGAATTAGGCATTGAATTCTATATGGCCTACTTCATGGAATTGAACATTCTCTGCGTGTGGCCAATATTTTGTATATCGTTGAAAATTGTGTGAATTAAGTGAGTGAGAGAAAAGAGAGAGAAAGAGAGAGAGAGAGAGAGAGAGAGAGAGAGGGGGGGAAGGAGGGGGTAGAGGGACGGAGAATTAGTCTGAAAATAAACACTGATAAAGGCAGGTTAATACAATTTACGGATAAGTTGGAATAATTCAGGGTCTACATTAGGCTATTAAGGATTGTTGAAAGAATCACATGTTGAAAAAAAATTAAAACAGCGTTTGTAATACGTCAAGAGATGATGCATGGTGCTCCGGTCACTGTAACTATGGCATTTTGGAAATCTTTAGAATTCGAAACAATTTGATGTAGTCAATCGCGGCTGTGTGTGTTAAAATCCGGCATTGAATTAGATAAACTCTTCGCCTCTTATTTATTCATTTATTTATTTATTTACAGACAAATCTGTCTTCGCGGCCACTTGTCTATATATAATATCTCCCTCTCGAAAGAAATATGTGTTGTAGGACCACGGTCTACAATGGAAAGTTTTCCTTTCCCTCATCAGGTTATGACTATAAATTTGTGATGAACATATGCGTAATAAACATAAATTAGTTTTAATAATTTTTTTTTATTCCAGGGGCCGGGAATGTTGGAAAGGCGCGGGCTTAACAATCAACCCTATTTTCTTTTCAACAAAAACAAAATATATATATATTTAATGTTAATTCTAAAAGAAAGTTATCTATTTCAGGTTAAAATGCTTTACGCTTTCATATTTAAAACTAAGATTCAAAATTGACACTTATTTGCATCATTTTTAAATAATAATATTTTTAACATTATTTTTTATTCTTTGACTATCTTTTATGAACAAAAATATCTAAATTATAGAATATTAATGGGAAAAAAGGGATAGATTGCCGTCTGTCTATTTGTGATCGATTATGAAATACCGGAAGTAAACACGTTTCCATTTGCGAAGAAGGTGGATCCTCCTTTCGGCTCGCGGGGAAAACATGGCCACTTTCAGTGTCAGCCGGTGCCGCTGGATTCGATGGATTCTTACAGCCGTGAACATTTTGTTGTGGGTGGATCATGGACGATCTCAGTCGACGACCCTTAGCCCCGGGAGTTGCGAGGTAGATGATCCAGGCGAAGTTGCTGAGAAGGTTGTGGAGAAACAACATCGTCAGGACTCGCTGAATTTGTTGTTGTTTTTGATCTTGTTGGTGATAACCATCCTCACAACATGGCTATTCAAACATCACCGGTTCAGGTTTATGCACGAAACTGGACTGGCGATGATCTATGGTAAGTGAATGATGCTGGATTGGAGCTAGGTGCAAAAGGTGAAAGCCAAGGGATTTCTGGGCCTAGATTTAGTCTTTAATTAAAATCGATATTATTCGCAACTAGGCCTATAGATCTATGTGTATAAAAGAGATTAAGTCGTAGAGTCGAGATAGGATTAGGAGACTGCAAACTTATGATTGATTTGGATAAATCGCAACTCTTTACAAGACGGCCGGGCCCTGGAATGCAAAATAACAGGAATTAGATAATATCATTTGAGTCATTTTTAATGAAATGTGATCATTTGAAAACATCATCATGAGACGTGCCCCTTCCCATAGGAAAGTGAAAAGTATGCCGCAGACCTGCCGCAGACCTGCCGCAGATCTGCCGCAGACCTGCCGCAGACTTTTAGTCTGCGGCAAAGAGTATGCCGAAGTATGCGGCAGAAAGAAATTTTGCTGCAGACTTGCCGCATACCATATGCCACAGGAACAGTCTGCGGCAGATCTGCGGCAGGATGAAATTTTGCTGCAGACTTGCCGCATACTAGTATGCCACAGGAACAGTCTGCGGCAGATCTGCGGCAGGATGAAACTTTGCTGCAGACTTGCCGCATACTAGTATGCCACAGGAACAGTCTGCGGCAGATCTGCGGCAGGATGAAATTTTGCTGCAGACTTGCCGCATACTAGTATGCCACAGGAACAGTCTGCGGCAGATCTGCGGCAGGATGAAACATTGCTCCAGACCTGCCGCATACTAGTATGCCACAGGAACAGTCTGCGGCAGATCTGCGGCAGGATGAAATTTTGCTGCAGACTTGCCGCATACTAGTATGCCACAGGAACAGTCTGCGGCAGATCTGCGGCAGGATGAAACTTTGCTCCAGACTTGCCGCATACTAGTATGCCACAGGAACAGTCTGCGGCAGATCTGCGGCAGGGCGAAACTTTGCTCCAGACTTGCCGCATACCAGTACACCACAGGAACAGTCTGCGGCAGGTCTGCCACAGGAAATCCCATTAAAGTCTAATAGGGCCAATTGAAACCAATCATCTCATGCATATTCATTATTACTTTACACGTGTGACAGAAAAATACATTTATCATGATTTGTTAAGCAAATTAAGACAATGCACATCATTTTTGTGATTTCTATTTTCCTTTTGCCATTATTAACCAATAGATTATTTTGTCTGATCATGTTACAATTACATTCACGTTTAAGCAATAGATATATTGATTACTAACGAAGAAACTATGATTACTAACCAAGAAACAATATACATATTTAGTATATATATGTGTACGAGCCTGTGTCACTTTAAATGTTACTCTTGAATACACTTCAAATGATCAATGTGATGAAGTTAATACAATTGAGAATAGAATATACCTAATTGGTAATATCGATATCTATTGGTATTACCTAATTGGTAATATCGATATTGCCAATATAATATTGCCGATATAAATATTCATGACGAAGAGTCTGCGGCAGGTCTGCAGCAAGTCTGTGGCAGACCTGCCGCAGACTCTTCATCATACTGAAAGAGTAAGCGGCAAGTCTGCAGCAAGTCTGCGGCAGACTCTTCATCATACTGAAAGAGTATGCGGCAGACCTGCCGCAGACAGTCATCTTTTTCACATGCAAATTAGTTTTGCCGCAGACTTGCCGCAGACTTGCCGCATACCCTTTCAGTATGATGAAGAGTCTGCGGCAAGTCTGCGGCAGACCTGCCGCAGACTCTTCATCATACTGAAAGAGTATGCGGCAAGTCTGCAGCAAGTCTGCGGCAGACCTGCTGCAGACTCTTCATCATACTGAAAGAGTGTGCGGCAGGTCTGCAGCAAGTCTGCGGCAGACCTGCCGCAGACTCTTCATCATACTGAAAGAGTATGCGGCAAGTCTGCAGCAAGTCTGCGGCAGACCTGCTGCAGACTCTTCATCATACTGAAAGAGTGTGCGGCAGGTCTGCAGCAAGTCTGCGGCAGACCTGCCGCAGACTCTTCATCATACTGAAAGAGTGTGCGGCAGGTCTGCAGCAAGTCTGCGGCAGACCTGCCACAGACTCTTCATCATACTGAAAGAGTATGCGGCAAGTCTGCAGCAAGTCTGCGGCAGACCTGCCGCAGACTCTTCATCATACTGAAAGAGTATGCGGCAAGTCTGCGGCAAGTCTGCGGCAAAACTAATTTGCATGTGAAAAAGATGACTGTCTGCGGCAGGTCTGCTGCAGATCTGCGGCAAGTCTGCCGCAGGAGTATGCGGCAGGCTCATTTCTTTCCTATGGGTTCCCTTGTTCATAGATCAGATGCAGGTTATGTCAAGTGGAAAAAATTTGGTCCCTCGGATAGGACATTAAATGGTGGCCTCGTGTACATGAGAGTCACCACCCTTGCACGATAAGAACCCATTGCACTATTCGTATAAGAGTAGGGGGTAACCCAGGTGTAATGGTCCACCTGCATACCCCAACCAGGCCGAGTATACCGGCATCTGCAAGAATCTTCAGTATTGAAGGAGGCAGATTATCTTGAAGAAAAAGACATGAGCATAAACATAGAGTCGTAGACCATGATGTAGACTCTAAGCTCTAGAATCAAGTACATCTAAATTGCAAATCTTTTAAAATTTTGATTCGTTCTGTGTGTGTAACTTTCTCTGCATGCTACATGTATATTTGAAGAAAAAAATTGCAATTTTTTTATATTAAACATGCAGTCATGCACTTCTCCCAATATGTGAATGATACTCAAGGATTCTTCCAAAGGCAGGCTTAAACTTTTAAACTAGACTAAACTATTGTTTGACGACTACCACTAACCAAGACAAACATCGCCACAAGTATATATAGTTTTGGAAATCACTATTTCGTCTACACACATACACGCATTTGTGTGTAGCGTCCATGGAGTGGCCGGGCAGGAAGAAACCAATACATGTGTGATGGAGACAATGATGCTTTACTTTGTAGAGCGAATGATGGTTTCCTTTTTTCATGATAATGCCAAAACATTTCCCACTATCCCTTAATGACAAGTACAAGGTTCCTACTGACACATTTGGCACCAGATCAGACAACTACATGTACATGTACATTACATGTGGATTTTAGACCGTATACCCCTGGCCTGATTTATCTTTCCTCACCCCACCCCCTCCCCAAAAAGATAACAAATGAAGAATTAATCCCCTGACATCTATCCCCTTGATCCCCTTGAAATATTATTCCAGGTACACCCAGATAAACAAAGTGATTTACCACAGGTTTTTTGTTTGTTTTCCAAACTTAAAAGGGGGCGTGTCTTTGATGGTAGCTATAGCAGGTTTAAAGGTAAAGGCCAGTATTGGAAACGCCCCAATTTCAAAAAATGAAATGGAAGCTCTTGTTACCAATCATGTGAAAGAATATGTTTTGACTAATCCTTGATGATAAAAATTTTGCCGGGAAACTGCCTACTAATTGATAAATTTGGTAAATTAGTTTATCTATTGGTATGTGTGAGATAAACGCATGTGTCACGCACGTGTGCGTATAGTCCCATATACATCTTTCTGTGTACAGTGCTTGTAACTTTACGAAGACTGGGCCAAATTTCTTATCATTTTGATGATTCCAGAACCTTGCAGTACACACTAATACTTACATTATATGCTAGATGATCAACCTTTTCTGATAGATTCCACACCGTTTCTTTCACAATGCAATCGCATGACCATAACTGGTTTTTATCTTTGACTGAATTACAGCCGAACTGTTAATGATCATACTCATGAAGATTTGACTTTATCACATGAGTAAAATCTAATTTTATTATGTAATGGAGACATTGCAACAAAAAGTGAAATGAAAATAAAAAATGAAAAAAAGAAAGTACCGGTACCATATTTTCATGACATTTTGTTTACTTCAGCAATTTGATGTAGAGATATGATTTTATGAATTTTTAGTGCTGTTGTGTTAATAAAGATTATGCAGTCGATCTAACTAAAAGACATTACTAGCCAAGCTGTTCAGATTGTTAAATGATTACATCTAAATGTACATGTTTATGTACATGTAGGTCCATTTGAAGTAGTATTATTTTTATTAAAGGAATCTACTTTAAATTTGTAGTTTAGTGAAATAAGTAATGCCATGGATGTTTTAGTGCACGTTCTAAAAGCAGCATTAACCAATGGTATACGTTCTTCCTTGACAGGTGTGATAGTTGGAGTCATCGTTTACTACGTCTCCAAGGGCAGCGGAGAGGCATCGATGGTCTACACCCAGGAGGGGTCCTGCGGAGAGGTCAACGCCCCCATGGACATGTACCTCCACCTCACGTACGAGGACTTCGGGGAGCACACGGCCAACGTGACGTTCCTCTACATCCGAGACAGCGTGGTGGGACAGGTACAGGCCAGGTCCAGAGACTTTGGCGCAAAGGTGAGTATAGGTGGTTCCCCGTTGTCGTTGCCATGGTTACTACTAGATGAGGCTCACATTGATTGAGCATAATTTTGGATTGACCAAGTTACGTCACATTGCTTAGTTAATCAGAAAGTATTTTGCCTTAAAGTGACTCGGTAACATTGTTGAAGGTTGATGAAAAAATTGTGTAATTTTTTATGCAATTTCACTAATTATATTCCTTCTACTGTACTTACCCTTTAACAAGTAAAATATCCTGAGAAAATTCTCAAACCACAAAAATATCTATGGTTCTCTTTAAAGGTGTCACAGTGCGTCAAATAGTAAATAGTAAATTCTCCCAACCATGTTTTAATTTTCCCAACCGTTTTTCCATGAAAATAAGACATACATTCAAGACAGGCTTTTAAAATCGTTCAACACTAAATGTCTAGGATGGTATAGACTCTAGAACCAATTCATTGCTTTGTGAAGATTTAAATTCACCTAAAAATGTATTCAATTTTAAAAAAATAGTTGGGAGAATTAAGGAATCAATCAGATCAGTTTTTCCCTTTTTTTATCATTAATAATGGTCTGTTTTCACTCAAACTTTGAAACTTAAATCTAGCATTGAAGTCACTACCATAGCACCATTTCCTCTCATCTGAAAAATGTTACCAAGTCACTTTAAAGTCGACTTGCTTAAGTAAAATGCTCAGATATGATCTGAATACGAGATAAGACATATTAATCAGCGAAGTAAAATACTAACTTTATTTGCATACTGAATTGAATACAGCCCCAGGACCTTATTTCATAAAGTTTATTATCAACAACAGCTGTTACATTTCTTTAACAAATAAAGCCAATCGAAGGCCATGATTTCAGTAGCTTATAACAGTTACTGTAACTTGTTATTGATAACAGGTCTTGTGAAACAGGGCCCAGGTTCTTTGGGGGAAAACCTGGGAAATGATTTCTTTTTATTCTCCAGTCAGGGAAAAGGCAGTGAATTTGAAGAAAATCTCTCAACCAAGGAAAAACTAAATGATTGGCTTTATTGGCTTTGTAGTGTGTAATAAGCCTTTGTTAGTGTGGATATTCAGAATAAAATTCTTCTATTTTTTCAGTTTTGATTTCATTTTGTTTCTCATGTACATTTACTTTTGTAATGGTTTGCTGTAGATCATATTTAAAAAAAAAAAAAAATCATTTCCAATCGTAATATTGATAACCAAATGAGCTTGTAAAAGTCATGGGATTCCTGACCGACCTAAAGGTTATAAATATAATGATAATTGCAGCATTAACTAAGTCAGTAAGGTAGCTTTGGATCAGAGGCAAAGTTACCCACTCCCTTTAAATCAATATACAAATTTAAATACATTACATTTGTGTCTTGCTCTTCCCTCTCAAACCTATATTGAATTATAATTATTTAATGTTCTTCCATTCAGCTGCAATTTGATCCAGAGATTTTCTTCAACATCCTTCTGCCACCCATCATATTCTATGCAGGATACAGCTTGAAAAGAGTAAGTTTTGAATGTCTGTCATTTTAATCTTGAAAACTAGTGTTACCTCCTCCTTTTTTCTCTTCAAATAAAACAGATAATTTAAATATTGCATATAATTGAACTGAGAGGGGTCTTGTATTATGAAGTAATTATTGTTTTGGAAGATGGTATGAATATCTCCAGTTATGGATTGAAGCATAAGAATAAATTATTTTGCTTCTGGTTTTGTTAGTGTTCAAAAGTGAATTATATGCATTTTGATAGTTACATTTTATTATTTTTTATAAAAATAAATATCGTTTTGACATACATGTACACATACCTGCACATTTTTGTATAGGTATGTGATCAGATATTAGAGACATATGTTGAAAGAATTCCTTTATTGAGTTTCGTGAGTACTATGGTTATTTATTATTTCTCTCTCTCCCTCTCTCTCTCTCTCTCTTTCTCTCTCTCTCCATTAATGAAATCCAGAGACACTTCTTTCGGAACCTTGGATCGATCCTCACATTTGCTTTTGCCGGGACAGCCATATCCTTCTTGGTCGTTGGGTAAGTCAGTAACAACTTTCATCCAATTTGTTGTTCAGATGAGGTAATAATAATGATAGTGGGTACTTGCATAGCGCTCATCTCTGTCAGATTTTACTCTCTTGGCACCCGCAACTATTACCCCAGCTTTAGCGTGGCTGCCATAATGGCGCTCTAGCATTTCAAGGAGAAAATTATTGCCAGGTACCTTACCTGGGTCGAGTGTGTAGAATAATGTCTTGATAATGGTTGAAACAACACCTCAACAGATACCGGGCTGGTCCACAAGGGCCTTGACCATTTAGCGGTGACATGTATGAATTTTGAAATAACATATTTGGCAGTCACCTGCAGGTTTGAATTTTATGAAATCTAAGGTTTGACAATCAGTGACAAAGTTGAAATTCGTTCTCAGCCTAAATTATTTCTGAAATATTTGTCATAATATGTGTTTGAAAAGCCTCCAGTATTGCTCAGATTTCACCAGAGATCATGTGAGTACCCTTGAGCCACGAATAAGTAAACCTTGGACGTGGGCAACAAGAGACTTTGTGCTTTGCAAGTGTATCTTGTCTTAACTGAACATCTTAGTGATGATGGTGATGATGATGATGATGATGATGATGATAATGATGATGACAGTGGTGATGATGATGATGATAACGGTAATGGTGGTGATAATGGTAATGATGGTTATGATGGTCATTATCATCATGATGGTGGTGATGGTGGTGGTGGTCATCGTCCGTGTCATGGTGGTGATGGGTGATATTGATGGTTATGATGGTCATCATGGTGGTGATATTTATGATGTTATTTTAGCCTTCATGGCACACAACTTCAGACATTAATTACTGTGCATCTCTCTTGACTAGAATTTCTTAATTAATGGTGAGAAAGCATTTAATATTCTATCACTGACCCCTTTATCAAAGTGTGACAAGTAACTAACCTTCGCGTAATGAACACATTTCACACTTAACAACATTCATTGAATGCTCATATTTTTCCTGTGTGCCCATACTGTACCCAATGCTCATCGTCGTTATAGAATGTGCCTATTTCAGCATAAGAAGTAACAGCTTGAAAGGTAGTCTAGAGTAATGACACCCCCAGGTGGCCCTCTCTCTGAGGTTCACATGAGGTCTGTTTTCATCAGCTTGAGTTTGCCAAATAACCCGCCATTTTAACTATCCCGATCGCAAATTAACCACTTGACTTGCGTCTTCATCAGCCCGCAGTTGCAATTAGCGGGATATTTTGTCGAGAAAATATCCCAAGAAATATTGATCGTTTCCAAAATATTGCGCTATTTGGGAAATAGCGGGCTAATTCGTGCCCGTCGGAGCTAGTTTGTGATGAGCATATCGGTCTAATGAAGCACAATTTTGAGCTTCGGGATAATGTCCGGAGTCTGAAAATAGTGGGTTATTTGGCAAACTCTAGCTGATGATGACAGGCCTCATCTACCATGCTACATGTACAGTACATGCAGGTAATACCCCAATCATACCAACGGGCCAACAACAGACCGAACAAGATATTCTATTACTTCAAACCTGTCATAGTGGCCACCTCTCTCTATATAAAGGCCACCTGTCTATAGTGGTCACTCGTATTGCCTCCCTTTTGAGGTTTTCCTTCAATATAGTGACTTCTCCCATTTATTTCGAATTTTCTGTTTTTATTTCTATCCATCGGTAATTTTATGTTTTTTCTACATATCATAGGGAATATATAATGACTATCACATTTCACATTAATTACATTAAATATAACCGCAAAATAATAATAGAATAATTTAGTTAATTACATGAACACTGTAGCAGAAATTTTGTATTTTACATTTGTTATTGTGTCACAAAGCTCTATGACAGGCTGAAATTTATTACCAAGTACAAATCCATATGGCTGCCAAGTTTGTTTTTGTCAGTAATACCAGTAGAAATTCTGTATTTCCTCTCTTGCGCTGTTTAAAAATGAATCAATTATGCAAAATTTTATATTACGTATGATGTTAGAAATGTCTACTTACATTAGAGTATTGCACACTGTATATATGTTATGTACATACATTGTGCAAATACATGCAAATTAGATAATGGATGTTCAAATGTAGAATGCATTACTCATAGTTGAAACGTCAAACAAACACACAGCCATTTATTTTAAAGCAAGCTTGTTCACATTTTCCACAGCATTTCTGTTAAGTTTTTGTTTGTTTGTACAAAATGAGTGGCAAGTGAGAACAGGCTTGTTCACATGTGCTGCAGCCATTTGTAGCCTTATTTTAAAATATATTCAAAAGCAAAAATTCAAGTATTTTCTTTTCATAAATTCCACATAAAAAGCATGAAATCTCCCATGATAATAGAAAATATGAATGATTGGAATCAACATTTTATGCCTTTTGAAATAATTTTTACAAAATATTTTCAAGGATGCTAATTCAGTATAATCATGAAATACAATTTGTGGTACAGGGAGATTACTTGTGTTGCATTTAAAGAGTTTAAAAACTAAAAAACGTTGCAAACTGCGTACTGCATAGTGTATATATGTATGTGAACAAGCCTTTAGTGGTACACAGCTCTCGCACAGTGTAAAATATACAAACTTTGAGGATCCTCTTTTGCAATGTGATCCGTCAAAGACACTTGAAAATGCAACAAGGAGATGTTGACTGGCATATCTTTAGTGCAAGTGAAAAAAAAACTTCACAATCTGAATATGTACAATGCTTTCATGTACATGTAAATAAATAGGCTCTGTGAGGACACAGCTCGAGACTGACAGAGTTGGGCTCTGTGCAAGGCTTTAATAGGAATCGTGGTAAAGTGTCAAGATTAGAGTCTCTGCTCGCAGACTATTTTGCTAATAGGAAATAAGTGCCATAAAAGAGCTCAAACTGAGGCATTTGTGATTAAAATGACGAAACTAGAAAACTCAAAAACTACAAGTTTAAACAATATGAAAGATATCTATGAGAATCGATCAACCAATCAATCAAACAATCAATCAATCAATCGATCAGTATCTCCATAGCTAGAAAATAGCATTCACTAACCAAAATAACTATAGACCGACTCAAGAATGAGAATAGGCCTGTTTTGATGAATGCGTTTGTTTAACTGTCGGTTAAACGTTTTGACTCAGGCTTAAATGAGAACCATTCAAGAGCTCAAACTTAGACATTTGCAAGCAAAATTACAAAAACTAGAAAACTCAAAAACTCAAAGTCAAAGTTCAAACAATATGAAAGATATCTATGAGAATCAACCAATCAATTAATCAATCATTATCTTTAGCCCGAACATAGCATTCACTGACTAGAATAACTATAGACCGACACAAGAATATTGTGGGATATCAAATATTTTATAATGTTGATTTTCACAACGTATTAGAATTAAACTGTACCCATTCAGATATGAGTCACCAACCATGCAATATACATGTACATTGTATGCGTGCCCCTTTTAAATGCAAGAATAACATTACTATTACAGCAACCCATTAGCCCATCACCGTGATACTCGATCCCTATTGGGACATTGCTCTATTAAGCAAATATGATGCACTAAAAGCCATCCTCGATCCTGATAGTCCAGCATTCGGATGGATGAGGGAAACAAACTCGCTCTCACTGTAATTACAGTATTGGGCCTGTGACGAGACATTGAAGCAATCCCGTATAGTAATGCAGTAGGCTCAGTAAACCAAGCACATAGAGTGGTGAAGTGTGACGTCATCAATAATCTATTTTTTGAATTTCTCAATTGGTCATATCTCAGCCCATATCTAACATATTCAATTGGTTTTCGACATTTGGACATTATTGTTGATGTTCTTTCGGAATATGAAGAAAAAATTGAGAAATTCAAAAAATAGATTTTGATGACGTCACAGCTTCGGTACTCTATGGAGTGTAAATGAGCAAAGAAAAATGGCGGATAGTACACCTATATTGAACACAGTTAGGTTATATTTTGAGTATCCTCTGTTCGGAGCCAGAAGGGCAAATATTATGCACAGTATTAACACCCATCTGGCTACAAGCAGACAATTATGTGCAATAAAAATATACATATAATTTCAGAAACTTCACTGGAATTTGATGTATTGTTATATAAATACTTATTTTTTAAAAAAAAATCATATTTAAAAGGAAGTAAAGAAGGAAGTAAATATGTATTTTCTCAGGAAATATTTTACAAATTCAATTAACATGGCTCCCCCCCCCCACTCCTCCTTAGTTTTCTTAATATACACCGGAGGTGAGAAACTATGTCTCCTATCAACCGTAACAATGATTGCTTGAATTGAGTTTAGCATAAAAAGGCATAGCCAGCCATGCTTAGAAGTACAGTGTACTCTCGCGTCATGGTGAATCATTCTTATAGACCCAAATATAAATATGATGTCCATATAATGCTGTTAAGAAAAAGAAATGCATGTAGATTTAAAGAGAAGGGACAAATTGTTAAAGGCTTGAAGCTTGTCTATGAAGGCCACATTTGATTTATAGACAGAGAAGAAAAAAAAGTCTTATTTTCTAAATTAATCAATTTCTCTCCTCAAATTAGCAACATTTAATCCTATTTTTAACTCCTTTGTAAATATAAAAAAAATCTATTTGTAGTTTGTTTGGCGTTCAACAATAAGGGATAGAGCAACGTCGATCTGGCGCTGCTCAGTGGCTGCCGGGCTCACGATCAATTGGGCAAAAAGAATTTCCGTTTCGGTTTAATAAAATTTGGAGTGGACTATTATTATTATAAAAAAAAAAAATTTAAAAAAAAAAAAAAAAAATAATGATTTCATATTTTACACACCGTTGCCAACCTAAAGAACGGCACAACATGTACTGCATTGGTATAAATGAACTCAAAATTGTTTGAGATTTTTTTTGTCTTTTCATTGCTCATGTATAATGTGTAATTTCTAGCATTCTAGATCAGAAGATAATGCAAAAATGTCACTGAAAGGTGACATTAAACTTTAAAAGCACAACCGGAGCT